TTTTCTAGCGCCTGCTGAAGACACGGGAGAGGTGGTGGATGCGGACCAGTTCTTGTAGCTGAAGCGTGGGCTTTGCTGTTGAGGGTTCAGTGCAGGCTTCGTACGGGAGCAGCGCAGAGAAGAGAACAGCCTGCTCCTCTGGACCCTCCGTCCCTTGGGGCTGCCGTGCCGATGGGTGCATTAGCAGCCCTCCTTCTCCCAGTGTGCTTTATGGGTAATAGCATGAACAGTGTGTACAGAACCAGCGGAAATTCTGCTTTAACATGCATTCATCCACCTAATGTAACCCACTGAAGGAACTGGTAAGGTTTTACTAACGATGCTCTATGAGCACATATACGGGGTCCCTTAGCAGAAGTGACCTGGCACAAAAAAGGGTGTTTTCCCACCGTCCTGTAGACAGAGGGAGGCTTTTTACCTCTGCTTCTACCACATTGTTGGTAGGTCTCTGTGACCCAAAAGCAGGTACAAAAGGAGATGGGACGATATAAGTGCTGGACGTCACTGGCCAGTCATTCACTGAGGTTTCTCTTTGCAGTTTGTGCTGGCGATGGGAAACTATCTGAACAACGGGCAGCCCAAGACCAGCAAAACCACAGGCTTTAAAATCAACTTTCTCACCGAGGTAAGACGAAGCATGCTTGTTCCCACGCAGGCAGCACCAATGCTGGGAGCTCCAAGTGCCGGTTTATCGTGCCTGTCCTCGCATAAGGCTGCAAGAGGGGGGACCGGTGGGAGGGCGGGGATTGATGCACAAGGTTGACTTCAGATGGTGGCCTGGTCCTTCAGCATGCTGCGGGGAGAAAACGAAGGTCTTTATTCTGCGTGGGTCACGGTGGGAGTCCTGAGGGGTGGGGGACGGGGTGACAGCCCTGGCCTGCGGAAGGGAGGCATTGCTTAGCATCTCGACGCCACTAACCTGGGCGTAACGTGCTGTGTAAACATTAAATGTCCTATTTAAACATTAATCCACATAGCATGGCTGGGAATTGCCACGCACGTGAATGCAGGGTGAGCCGAGCAGAACAGAAGAGCCCCTGTGCATTTGGGTGCTTGGCAAAACACGCTCTCCTCCGCACAGGAATCTCCTTACTTGTTTTGCTTTGCCGTAGCTGAACACAACCAAGACTGTTGATGGGAAATCCACCTTCCTGCACATTCTTGCCAAATCACTTAGCCAACATTTCCCAGAGCTCCTGGGCTTTGCCAAGGATCTTCCTACAGTGCCGCTCGCTGCCAAAGGTAAACGAACAAAAGTATCTGCAAGCTCCTTGCCTCTTTGCGCTGTCTCTTGGCTTTGTGTGGGTCTAGAATTGGTCATGAGCTGCACGGCGCTGGCACGAGCAGGATGGTGGCCCAAATAAGTGAGGAATGGTCCTGAGCGAGAGGACAGGGCTAGGAAGGGACGAGCTAGTGACAGGGGAGTGTCCCGTGCTGCTGCACACGGGAGCGTCGAGATGAGGCTCTGTCCCTGACCTGAACCTTCCTTCTGACTTGAAAAAGTGGTTCCCAAGTTCAGAGGTATCTTGTAAGTGCAGGAGAGGAACAGAAGAGGGAAGTGCCAGGAGCCGGTCTGCTCCACCCAGCCTCTGCCTCCTTCCATCCCCACTGTGCAGCCTCCCCGGCGCGGGTGCCAGCATTATTACTGCTTGCAGTAACGCGTGGTACGGAGCGTACACCACCCCTCATGTTATGAGTTCACAGTCCGGTCGCAGGTATGTCACGCTGACTGAGGATCGTACGGCTTCGTTGGCTGCAATAAAGAAAAGTCGCATAGATGCTGGGGTTATCATCCATCCACTCATGTTGGTGGTGTCACAACAGGCTGGCTGCATGCAAAGCATGGGCTGCATTCTCCTTGCACGTCATCCCCTGTTGTTTGTGAGTAATTCCCTTGGGAATTAGTGCTACAGTGGATAAATAAAGGAGAAAACTCAGCCCTGCAGATGTGAGTTTCCACTTGGTGAAGGTCTGTGGAACTTTCCTAGCTGGATTTTGTATCTGGCCTAACTGTTAAATAACACTTCTGTCACTGAAGGCTCCCTGCTGCCCAAACTCCTGCCACTTCATACCCAATTTTGGACCGTGTGCCAGCCAGGGCTGCCCAGCTTCGTCCTCACACAGGCCACAGGGCACCACGGCTGCAGTACGTAACCCAAACCCTCCCAACATGCTGCAGCTCGCCCTCTCCCTTGCCTGCAGAAGAGCTAAAGCTTGGCCGCTGAAGCCAGCAAGGAGTCTGAAGTGCTCATCACTCTCCTGAACGCTGGTGCTATGATGAGATGCCACGGAGGGCAGCCTGGATATTACCCCTTGTCCTACCGTCCTGTGCACTCCCTCTGTCCCCCTCCTAAGTCAAGTACCTGTGTTTCCATCACCGCCCTTGTGCTGCTGAGTCCTGCATACTCCTTGCACTTGGCACTTTCCAAGCTCCTTTTGAGGTTCTTGGCATTTCTTGGCCCAAGCGCCCAACGGCAGCTGCTGGAGGCCAGCAGGAAGGTCTGGTTGTCCACCATGCCCTGGACAACGTGGACAGGTTGTGCAAAGCCATGTAGACAGACAGCCTGAACCACCCTGACTGATGGCCCACGCTCGTTGCCCTCGCTTTGCCGCGGGAAGCAAGCCAGATCTAAGTCTCCTAATGCTGTTGACTCCTCTCCTCTCATGTAGTGAATCAGAGAACGCTAACGGCTGACCTAAAGGACCTGCACACCACTGTCAGTGACATACAGATGGCCTGTCACAACATGCCAGCTACCGCAGAGGACAGATTTGCAGTTGTGATGACTGTATCCTTCTGTAAAAGGGGCAAAACACCAACGTGACTTACTGCCCTCCAGTAAAACCATTCGGTTGTCTTTATGGCTCCTCGGTAAGCAGCAGGGCTGTGTCCAGCTGGTAAGAAAGGACCATCTCAGCACTCGGTGAGAGCATGCTGGAAACCTTCACCCTCCACTCACTTAGCCAGCATGGGAAACAGCTTTTGTTCACATGCCTCTGCGTGGCAGAAACGCTGTGCCACGAGGCCAGCAAGCTTGCCGAGTCGTCTTTCCTTCCAGAGAAGCGCTGTCAGGGACAGCTGAGCACGCCAGCGGGCTCCCTTCGCATGTGGCCACAGCCTGCATTTGCAGCAGGTCCTTTCCTAGACCTGAGATGAAACCCAGCCATTTGATAAGTAGAAGTGATTCTGATCTGTACCGGACCCACAGTGCAGCTGGTTTTCCTTAAGCCATTTCTCGCAGTCCTTCCTGGAGAGCGCCCAGCCTGCCATGCGATCCCTGGATGACCTGCAGCACAAGGCCATGGAAGAATTCAGCAAGGTGTTGTCCTTCTTCGGGGAAGACTCGAAAATGACAACTTCTGAAGCTTTCTTTGGCATTTTTGCAGAGTTCATGAGCAAGTTTGAGGTGAGTTGCACTTTTCAAAGCCAGCCAGCAAGGGGTTTCCTGTTAAAGGTCAGTGAAGCGTTTTACTTGCATGCGAGCTGTGGGAATGAGACGAGCTTTTTGTGAGCACGTGTACCTGAGTGTCTGTAAAGTGCAATTTTTCTAACGCCCAAGTTGCCTGGCCGGTGCAGGAGGCTGAGGTGGAGGTTGATGGTCCAAGCACCAGCCCCATGGAGAGTAAAGCAGATGTTGTCACGGTCTGACGTTCGTGGTTAACAAAGGCTGGGTCGGAGCACCTCGAGGCAGATGCACTGACTGTCAGGGCTTGTCCAGTGGGAAGCCAGGGGAGAATTAAGTCTGTAGTGGCCAGTACTGTTGAAACGTCCTCCTTGTCCGTATCAGCTGCCCTTGCCTGATCCTCAGCTCCCGCTCTTTGCTCTCTCCCTGCAGCGGGCGCTCAGCGATGTGCAGGTCGGCGAAAGCCAGCGCAGCCCCAGGATGACCTCCCCCCTTGCCTGGTGACGGGCCTGCAGCAATGCGAGGTGCAACAATTTATTGCCAACAAAGTGCAATTTGCTCCCGTTGAGTTTGGTTGTAAATACGCTGCTGTCACCTGCTACCAGCAAGCAGAACCACGGACGAAGGGGTCGGGGCAGTCTGGACGCTGAAAAGGCACCACAGGTGATGGTGGACGGATGCGAGGGTGAGGCACAGGGACAAGAAGGTAAACACCGCGCTGGTCTTAACAGCTTGCTTAGCACCCTCCATTTCCAGCGTATTACTGAGTCAAGGATTTCAGACCCATCTGGGCAAACCTCCACTCTCCCGCGTTTCCAGAACACGCATAGCTGGCGCCAGCAGCTGCTGGAGACCTTCCCCACGTCCCCACAGCCGGTGCCCGAGCACGGCTGCACAAGGAGTCAGCCCTTGCAGGGTACGGCTTCCCCCAGGCCGGCACCGCTTGCCCCTGCCAGCCTCGGGGCCGGGGTTAGAGCCCAGCCACAGGCTCCCTGGGGAGCCAGAGCGGGTCAGGCGAGGAAGGGAGCGCGGGGGGATGAGGAGCAACGCTGCTGAGCTCCTCTCAAATCCCTCTCCAAGCCCTTCTGCCCTTGAGCTGCACCGTGGGGCTGGAGCTCCACCTGAACAGACCGTAACAGCGGAGTGGAGACTGCTGGAGGTGGCCCAGAGGCTTTAATCCCCTGCCATTGCTGGCCAGTGGCAATGGAAAGCAATATGGCCTTGCAGAACCCTTCTGGCACATCCGTGTGGTCCCAAATACAGATCCAGTCTGGTTCTACCCAGCTGCGCTGGAGAGGAAGGAAAGCCCAGAGTCCTTCCCGGCCATCAGCTTTGCTCAAAGGTGTGGCAGAGACTGACAGGACTTGAAATCTTCCCAAGAGTTTAGCAGCAGCAGCAGCAGACTTATTTGAACTCGCCAGGAGACATAAATCCCTGAGCATTTTGGTGCCTCCTTGGAAAGTACAGAACCCTTGGTAGCCTAAAAAGGAGTGGGAGTCCTCCGCAGCCCCAAGGACTGCTCCCGAGGCAGCGCAGAGACCAGCGAGAAATCATCCCCTGCCCTCCGCTATTCACTCCCGAGGGCTGGAGTCCTGAGAGTCCTCTACCGTACAACCAGTCGTTCCCGCTGAATACGCCCAGGGAACTCTAGAAGCATGCACAGCCATCTTTCAACAGCGGGTGATGGTTATTTAGATGACTTAATTCCCTCCGAGATGTCCCCTGGGAGGAAAGGGCTAGCAGCATCCAGTGCATGCGCCTCCGGGCGACACGGTGCCCCGAGAGCTTTACGGCAGCAAACCCACAGCGCGTTACTGTTGTGAGGCACTACTCTGTGCAAAATGCATCCGTTGCCTTTCAGAGCCGGCACGCTCCAACACCCTGCCCCGCGGAAGCGCTCCAGAAAGCCGTAGCGTAGGTAACCTTCCTCCCGTCTATTGCCAGAGCAAGAGCTCGTACTGCAGCCTCTGCTCAAGTACACAATCACCAACCGGTGCATTATTTATGGGAGACCTTATGACCATCAAATCTTTGGTTTTTCAGTATTTTTTTAAACCCTGCTGTAGAAAGTGAAGTATATTTTCACAAGTGTTCTCAGTTTATACAGCTTTAAGTGCCAGGTAGTTTCTAGCGTTGTGTTCCCAGCGGTCCAGCCCTGTCTGCCTCTGCCTCTCCTCTGCCCCGACGGCGGTGACAGGGCGGTGCTCACTCGGCTCCTCTTTCTGGTTTGGGTGTTGTACACTGCATTTTTCCCCCCAAAACATATTCAATATTTAAACCACTGGAAGTTCTTTTGAAACTGTCATTACAAACGTGAAAATGCTGTACATAGATTTTGCTACATGTTGTAACTTTCCAAAATAGTTAGAACTCCAATCCCTTTGGTATTTTTATGTGAATATTTTCAAAGAACCAGAACTTCTGACATACGGTTATATTATTTGATAATGGGACTATGTATATTCACAATTCATTCTCTACCCAATGCCTATGTGCTATTCCTAAAATAAAGCTACTGCCTTCTGCCTCCTGACTGCATGTACCTCTCTTCTGTCAAAAACTGCTTCGTGCGACCGCCGCAGTTGTGAAGGTGGGAGGAATTCTGCATCTGGCACTTCTGTGACCGCACATCTTAATATTGGCCCCTTACACCTACAGGAGAGAGATGCAGGATCTGACCTTGATTTGGGCTGGTATGGGGAAAATAACTGCATAATTGTGAAGAGAGCTGCTTGCATGCCAGCATTCAGGGCAGTGTGATGAATACGAGCAAGAAATTCTTAAAATAGTATGGATTTTTTCTGCAGCCTTCAGAAGAAAACATTTAGTGAGTGTACGAGCCGGTGAATTGTTTCCCTCTGAAAAGGAATTCTTGGCTGAGGTTGAGTTTACGTCCCTGGAGCAATTTATCTCCCTTTACACTAACAGCAGATAGATAGGGACCGGTTTCATATCAGATTTCCTGGTTGTAGTTTAGCTTGTTTACAGCAGCCTGCTCAATCACTGGCTCCTCCGTGGAGGCCATGGCACCGGCAAATGCAAAACGGCTCTGAACAGAGTTAACAAAAATGTTACGGGCAGAAGTCCCTTGCTGGGCACATGTTATTTAAAGTGCTCGAAGCCCTCCTGATGTTTCTCCAGCCCTCCTGGCTGATCAAGCCTGGCTCTTTTGCAGCCCCGGGGATCTCGGGCTGCCCAGCGCGGCTGTCAAACCTCCCATAAATGGCCACAAAAATGCCCCGGAGCCTCCTTTGCAGCATGGTACATATGAGAGTCGGCATCATTCACCACGCACACTGGCTTTGCTCTTTCTTGATAACTGCAGACATGAGGTAATTTTTGCCCAGCATCGGCGCACTGGCTGGGCGCTCGCCTTTTAGGCTTGTAGAGCCCAGTCTTAACAGAACGCCTGCGTCAGCCGCGATCATGGGATTGTCTTCACGGGAAAGCCTGTCCTTGGAAAGGAAATAATAACTCAGGCAGCGGCACGGGAATGCGGCCGTGGCGTGGCTCCTGCCCCATGGGGTGCCACTTCCATCCTCTGCCAGAGACAGGGAAACAGTCACCGTGGAAATCCCAGGTTACATTCCAAATTTAGGATTATTTAAGGATTTTCACTCCTGCAAGAAATGGGGCGGGGGAGGGGGGGGCACGCCAAAAAGAAAACGAGCAGCTTTTAGTAAAGTCATGGTAAGGACCAGATCACAGCTCCTGTTGGTGGGCTGGCTGGGATAAAAAATAGTACCAGGCTGGAATCTCCAAGCCAAACTGGAACCAGATACGAGCCCTCCCTCTAAGTATCTTGATAGTGGTTTGAAGGGCCACTATCCGTAAGTATTTCCCAGGTGCCATGAAAGATGCCAAAGAGGCAAACAGAAGTTTCAGCTTCAGACTGGAAGGGCTGGAAGTCAGAAAAAAGTGGCATAGACTGGGAGGTAGCACAAGGCACCTGGATGTTGGATTGGAAGCCCTTGAGGATCTGCACTGTCGTAACACAATTTAGGAAAATCTGGGTTTTCCAAATTCTGTCGGACCAAATTAAAGCATCTCCAATCGCAAGATTCAAAGACCTTTAGTTATGCCCACAAGAATTGTGAGCCGAGCGTGAAACAATGAGATAAAATACAGATACTAGTCTTCTCCTACTTTGCTTTATGGTTTCTTAGACTTTGGGGTGCCTCTTTTTTTTAAAAACTTGCCTCCATTGTCAAGCTAGAAAACTCAAAAGTGAGGGCGAGAGCTGAATTTCTGTTTCTAGCAGCTGAGATTGTCGAGAAGGGGTAAGTTGCACAAAACCTTTGGTAAAAGCAGCGCAGTTAGCTGCAACATTCAATGACCAGTGCGAGACGAGCAGAGCACCTGCGCTAAGAGATGCTGCTCACACCCGGCCGGCGACGCGGGAACGGCCTTCCCCGGGGGCTGCCCCGCTTTGGCTGAGACTTGCACCCAGGCGTCGCAGCAGAGCTGAGGACCGGCCCGTAAAACATGCCCTGAGGGGATCACACACAGTAAAATTCGGGTTGATAACTCCACTGTCGGGACATGGATTAGGCTTGTGTAAGGACAGTGCCCGCGCCTGGTCTGCCCTCCCAGCCAGTGCGTGCGGCGCTCGACACGGGGCTGCTTGGTGGTGCTGCCCGGGCTCCGTGCACCCCGATTTCAGGGATGTACGAGCCGCCTCCTGCCACGCTCTCGCGCTGTGCTGGGAGGTCCCTCTTCAGCATCATTCTCCGCGTGCAATCTGTCCGTAAGTGTTTATCAGGTTTTTCAGACGGATGATGCTGAAGCCAAAACCTCCAGCCTGCTCCCAGAAGGGGACCCGATTCTGGGACTAACCTACAGACTCCGAAATGAGTTATGACCCTCACCCCACGGATGAACTCTGCTGTTTGTAAGGCTTAGGCGTAAACTCAGCGACAGAGCCGCCAGCTCCCCCCTGTGACGCGGGCTGTCAGCTTGAGAGGACATCAGCACGGATTTTTTTTATTGTTACTTGTCCCTCTAGCTGCGCAGATTGCTTAAGAGAATGGCACTCCGTGGAGTTTGACCCGTGAGCCCTGATAGTGAAAATAATACGCTCCTCACCAGAGCCACGGGAGACCGAAAGAGTAACTTCGGGCAATTAGTTTAACTTTGACTATAAATATTCCTTCTCATTCCTTGTGACACCGTTAACAGCTCCGCTGGCAAATCCCGATTCTCTGGCAATA